CTTCAAGCATGTTCAGGTAGACCTCACCAGTTAAATTCCCAGGAATAAAAAGTGGCCCTACGATATGACTACCTAATATGCCACACCAGACATTGATTTTTTGAGGGTACTGGGTATGGACCTCTCGGAATAAGTAATAAATTGCCCAGTAACGGCAATTATGCCTATTCACAGTTCCATTAAAGAAAATGTACTCTCATCGGAAAAGCACGTGTTGAATGATAGGTGCGGATCATCAATTAGTAGCTGGCTCAGTTGTTCACAAAATTGCAGCCTTCTATCAGTGTCATCTTCATTGAGTTCCTGTACTAATTTAATTTTATACGGATGAAATTTGTAGACTTTTAATATCCGTATTATGGACGAACGGGAGACACCTGAGGCTGCAGCAAGCTGACGGGTACTTTGAGTATGATCCAATTCCGTGGCTGGTGTTTCACATTACAGACATATCCGGTATCGACAAACTTTTTGACTAACTTGGCAACGTACGAATCATTCACATTTTCCCGGGATAACTGTTATTAAAGAAGCGAGCAGTAAGTCTAGCACAACTATTATGTTGATAATAAAGTTTAACAATTTCAACTCGTTCAGGAATGGAATAAACCATTTTAACAGTAAAGTTGAAATCATTTCAAAAGCAACCGAACTGAATCAATGAACGTTTGCCTAAATTCTTTTTGGACACTTATCTGCTGTTGTTATTCGAACCAAAAAACGCACGAGAGAAATTGAGGAATGTAGTAGTGATAAAAATGTCGTTTTTTCCGCATTTTCATTAACACCAAAAATATCGAGTAAATGTTCGAGTAATGTATCGAGTAAATACAACAAATTGGGTATCAATGGAAAGAGAATTTTGTGCCCTTTCAAATGATATATCACTCGACCCCACTTTCCATTTAAAATTTTAGGCTTGTTACTCACCCTCGCTGGGGGGTTGAAGGCACAGGTAGAAAAATACATCTAAAATGTGTCCCCCTCAAAAGCAAAATAGACCTGTCCGAGGATTTTTGCGTTTAGTTACAAAAAAAGGAGAAAAGCAAGGTGCATACTTTTCGTTGGACCACTCGATATAAATGAATAGCATGAAATTTCAGTAGAAAATAAAATTGATTACAGGGAATTACATTTGGAGTGGGCACCTATTTAGGGTGGATTGAGAACTACTACACCTACCAATTAAACAAGGAGGTCTGAAAATAACAAATTCTGAACTGAAACAAAATCGCTGTTTATTAAAACTTTACAAAATTCGTAGGCAAGCTGTGGAGTCAAAATCTCATATTATCCCTCAAAGTTAATGTTTCAGAATGAAAATATTCAAATACAAAACTTTTTTAGAAAGTATCATGAATTCATTCAAGAAGCTGACTGGGTATGGGACGAAAATATTATAATGACCACAAAAATTATTTATCAAAATTATTCCAAAAAAGTTATAATTAAGCCTTCAATAGAAAG